CCAGTGCTCCCAGTATGGGCTCCCAGGGCTCCCAGTATGGACTCCCAGTGCTCCCAGTACGGGCCCCAGTGCTCCCAGTGCTCCCAGTATGGGCTCCCAGTGCTCCCAGTGCTACCAGTATGGGCTCCCAGTGCTCCCAGTGCTCCCAGTATGGGCTCCCAGTGCTCCCAGTGCTACCAGTATGGGCTCCCAGTGCTCCCAGTGCTCCCAGTATGGGCTCCGGGGCGTCAGGGATATTTGGTTCTATCGCGATAGGACCCCCAGGGGTTGATGGGGGAGGGGTCTTATATCGCGACATGACCACCAGGGGGCTCTAAAGGGTTGATGGGGGGGGGTTATGTCGCGATATGACCACCAGGGGGCGATGGGGGAGGGTCTCATGTCGCGATAGGACCCCCGGGGGGCGATGGGGGAGGGTCTTATATCGCGATAGGACCCCCGGGGATTGATGGGGGAGGGTCTTATATCGCGACATGACCACCAGGGGGCTCTAAAGGGTTTATGGGGGGGGGTTATGTCATGATAGGACCCCCGGGGATTGATCAGGGGGGTCTCATATCGCGATATGACCCCCGGGGGTCGATCAGGGGGGCGTCCTATCGCGATATAACCCCCCCGTGTCGCGACAGGGGGACATTATATCCCGATATAACCCCCGGGGATCCATAGAGGGGGGTCTTATATCGCGATATGACCCCCCCGCATCGCGACAGGGGGACATTATATCCCGATATAACCCCCAGGGGTCGATCAGGGGGGTCTTATATCGCGATAGAACCCCCCCATGTCACGACAGGGGGACATTATATCCCAATATAACCCCCGGGGATCCATAGGGGGGGTGTCTTATATCGCGATAGGACCCCCGGGGATCCATAGAGGGGGGTCTTATATCGCGATATGACCCCCCCACGTCGCGACAGGAGGACATTATATCCCGATATAACCCCCGGGGATTGATCAGGGGGGCATCCTATCGCGACAGAACCCCCGGGGACCCATAGAGGGGGGCTGTTCTATCGCGATATGACCCCCCCACATCGTGACAGGGGGACATTATATCGCGATATAACCCCCGGGGATCCATGGGGGGGGGCGTCCTATCGCGACAGAACCCCCAGGGATTGATCGGGGGGGGTCCTATCACGATATAACCCCCCCACGTCGCGACAGGGGGACATTATATCGCGATATAACCCCCAGGGATTGATCGGGGGGGGGTCTCATATCGCGATATGACCCCCCCACGTCGCGACAGGGGGACATTATATCGTGATATAACCCCCGGGGATCCATAGGGGGTGTGTCCTATCGCGATATAACCCCCCCACATCGCGACAGGGGGTGTCCTATCGCGACATAACCCCTGGGGATCCATTGAGGGGGGGTCTTATATCGCGATATGACCCCCCCACGTCGCGACAGGGGGACATTATATCGCGACAGAACCCCCGGGGATCCATGGGGGAGGGTCTTATATCGCGATATAACCCCTGGGGATCCATAGAGGGGGGTCTTATATCGCGATAGAACCCCCGGGGATCCATAGGGGATGTGTCCTATCGCGATATGACCCCCCCATATCGCGACAGGGGGGTGTCCTATCACGATAGAACCCCCAGGGATTGATCAGGGGGCTGTTCTATCGCGATATAACCCCCCCACGTCGCGACAGGGGGACATTATATCCCGATAGAACCCCCAGGGATTGATCAGGGGGGCGTCCTATCGCGATATAACCCCCGGGGATCCATGGGGGGGGTCTTATATCGCGATATAACCCCCATGTCGCGACAGGGGGCTGTCCTATCGCGACATATCGTGACATATCGCGATATAATGGGCTCACGCTCCACTCGAAGCCGCCGACGGCGATGCCCCCGGCCGCCCCCGTCCCCGCCAGCCCCACGAAGTGCCCGGAGCCGATGTTGGAGGCGAAGAGCGACGCCCCCACCTGCAATGGGGGAGACACGGGTGACCCCCGGGTGACCCCCCTGACCCCCCGGTGACCCCCGGGTGACCCCCGGGTGACCCCC